GCTACCAGATGGTAGCAATTTTAGTCGCAAGATGGTAGCAATTCTGGTAGAAATTCTGGTAGTAATAGTTTCTTGGAGGTCCCGGGACTGCAAATATGTTTCATTTTATGTGTTAAGCTGCGCCTGCTGGTTCCATTCCAGTATCGGGTCTAGTAGCAAAGGTCCGTGGTAAAATCTTCAATGATGATCGTCCCTGTAATGTACTCTTGTGTCGCCGTCGGAACCTCACGTACGTGTATGTACCGTGCATTACAAAGCAGAGGAGCAAAAAACTCTGTTGCTGGTATTTTTTGTTTCGTCTTTCTTACTTCGAGGTACGAGTAGTAACCGTTGAGCAGCTCAACATTTCCATGTACTCAGCTCGCGTGGTATTTTTTAGGTACACGATTTGTTGAGTAGATCGCACCGTACAAACACTAGTTATTTTTTGCCAAAGTACATGCACCTCAACTGGTTACAACCCACGCGGACTGAATTTTGTAACCAAACCCTTCCTTAAGGAGAGCCCATATTTTTACACGATACTACTGCTAGTCTGGTTACCAAAAAAAAGGGTCTGGTTACAAAAACAGGCGCACTGGTTCCCTTGTGCGCGCTTGTAACCAGGCGTTTGCACCTCAACAGGTACAAACTAAAAACTGTCTTCACTACTGTAAATACGTACTAGTATCAGTACCAGTAGTACACAGTATCTTGAACGAGGAGTACTAAAAAAATGTACTAAGCAGTTTCAGTGAAAAACTCATCTCGATTGCTATTCCAGTACAAACTTGTGTAGAAAACACCGTAGAAATATTGATTTGCAGAGGAAACAAGCAAAAATCAAGCAAAACACCAGCAGCAGAGCAGAACGCTGTATCGTATCAGCAGCTCCTCCGTATCAGCAACTCGTATCAGCGTCCTCCGTATCGTATCAGCAGCTCCTCGATTCAGCGCTGGCTCCTCCGTATCGTATCAGCGGCTCCTCTGTATCATATCAGCGTTCTCCGTATCAGCAACTCATATCGTATCAGCGTCCTCTGTACTCTGTATCGTATCAGCAGCTCCTCCGCCGTATCGTATCAGCGCTGGCTCCTCCATATCTTATCAGCGCTGACTCCTCTGTATCATATCAGCGCTGACTCCTCTGCCTGTATCGTATCAGCGCTGACTCCTCCTCCGTATCAGCAATTTGCTGAGTACATGGAAATGTTGAGCTGCTCAACGGTTACATAAATAACTGTGGAGGAGCTCTGCTTCAGCACAACAAGTATCTTCAACACCAAGCTCTCGAGCTAAAGCTCTCGAGCTTGGTGTTGAAGATACTTCTTGCAGTAACCTCACTTCGATCTCGAGCTAAAGCTCTCGATCTCAGTGACGTTACTGGTGTACCCAAATCGAACCAGAAAATGTACTCTGTTGAGGTCCGTGTTATTTGTGTGGGAAAAATTTTGTACTGTGCGCTTGAGAGCTTATTGTACTGTGCGCTTGAGAGCTTTTAAGCTCTCAAGCGCACAGAACAAAATTTTTCCCACACAAATAACACGGACCTCAACAGAGTACATTTTCTGGTTCGATTTGGGTACACGCGCTGCGCGAGCTCCTCCACAGTTACTATACATATCGTACCGGCACCACGCACCGTAGATTGCAGTACAAGTACAAGTACAAGCACGAGTAATACCTCGAAACTTAAGTGAACAACGATAGTGACCGGTCACAGGCGGGGCGGCATGCATAAGGATCGTGCCGTAGACCGTACGGTACGAKTTCGTACTCGTACGGCGTCGTCGAAACTCGTCGTCCATTCTRTATCTGTTCTGCCRTGAACCTATCACATTCCCGTCGCTAATACAGTGCATATCTACACCTACTCCACCCTCACTTTGTTGCCCGCGTGTCGGTTCGTAAGCGCAGCACTCGGTCCGTTCCCTCGTTGCACGGAACCTTTGGAATCCAATCCACGAAGACACAACAGGAGGCAATCTTTGGCGGCTGTGTACAGGCTGTAGCAAAAGCGAAAGCACCCGCACCCGCCGCCACGACAAGAACCGAATCAGAGCAAGAKAGCCGCACGATTCCCCAACGGCACTGGCATCAACTGCTTTCTTCTCGTCCTTCAATCACAAGACACCATGAAGATTATCAATGAAATGAAGAAGAAACTCCACCTGGAGAGGGCCCGGGAAGAAATGGAAGAAATAAAGAAGGACGCCGAGATGATCCTGAACAAGCTCATCTACGCCCGCCCACTCAAGTTCACGAAGCATTTCGAKYACCGTCGAAAGGCCACCGAGGGCGTCGATCAGGAGGAGGAGGAGCTGCGAGAGTCCAACCTGGAAGCCAGCGAAGAAGCCTTCCTGGTGTCGGTTGTGGAAAACCACTCGGATTTCGTCCTTTCCAACCTGGAGGCCTCCGAGATMCAGAGGCTGGTGCGGGCCATGGAGAAGCACACCGCGGCCGCCGGGGACGTATTGATTCAGCAGGGGGACACGGGCGATTACCTGTACGTWGTGCGGGAGGGCACCGTCCGGTTTTTGGTGGACGGGGAGGACAAGGGCACCGCATCGGAGGGAGCCGTCGTGGGGGAGCTGGCGCTCCTCTACGACTGCCCCAGGGCCGCAACCGTTCGGGCCGACACGGATTGCGTCCTCTACCGGGTCTCGCAGGAAACCTTCCGGAGGATCCAGGCCTCMTTTATCCTCTCCAACGACGACGAAACCCGGACCCTCCTCAAGAAGTCGACGCTCTTTGCCAATCTCCACGACGACCTCATCCGGGAAATGGCCTCGTACATGTTCCAAAAGAAGTTCACCAAGGGTCAAATCCTCGTCGAGAAGGRCCAGGACGTCGACGAGATCTATTTCGTGAAACGCGGAACGATCCTCGGCCGTGACGTGAGCGCGAGGGGCGTCGAATACGCGGACATTACTTTGGAGCCGGGTGGCACCTTCGGAGACCATGCCGTGCTGATGAATCACCCTGCTTTCGCGACGRTCGAGKGTTTGACGGATGGGGTGGTGTACGTGCTGACAAAGGAACGCTTTTTCACGTGCCTCAAAGGAATAGACCTGCAYGAGATGGTCCAGAGGAAYGCTGACAGTCAGATTTTGGTGGGTGTTTTTCTTTCCATGTCACATTCGCCGTTGCAATTCATGCTGCAGTATAGACATTGTATTGCATTGCGTGTTTTGTGAAATGTTGATCGAATATGGTTTGCTTGCTGGCTGACTTTGACTTGTTCGAAGAGAAGCGAAACATGGTGTGCTGCTACTCGCTCCTTGGGGCTTTGTCCACAAAACTCACCCGCCTCCTTTCTGCCTTGCCGTTTGCTCTCATTCATGGCACAAACCGACGAAATCCGGCCCTCGAGCAGCACCTGCTCCCCTTCTTTGCCTATGCGGACATCGACGACGTCGAGATTAGGGAAATGGTGAAGAAAATGGAACACGTTACCCTCGAACCGGGGGACACCCTCGCTACCCTCGGGGAGGAGGTAGAACCTGCGCTCTACGTCGTCATGACCCGCAGCRAAGACCACGGGTACCTCCAGTCCACCAAGGATGGTGTTGTGATCAGAGATGTTAGGGCCGGGGAGGCAATGGGTTTTGGAAAAGCAACCATCAACATTTCAAACATTTCGCAGAGCGAGAGCTGCGAGGCGGCGGCCCTGTACGGATCGAAARAGGGTTKGGTCGAGCTAGACACGACCGATGCCATCAAGGAGTCCAAACACAACATGTTGGTACACAACAAGGTTGTCTCGCAATTCACCGTCGTCGCCAGGGGAACTGGCACGGTCCACCTGAAGAAACTGACGCTYAAAGACCTCAGCAAAATCATTCACGATCCCTTCCGCCTCGGCAAGGACTACMGGGTTAACGGAAGCAAGAAGACGGAAGTTACGACCGACGTTCTCCAGCGCAAGCAACTCCTAGGCCAGGGGACCTTCGGACAGGTGTGGCTGTGCCGGGAAAAAAGAAAGGGAGACCCGTACGCACTCAAAATACAGTACAAACGGGAACTCATACAGCAACACCAGGCCGACGGCGTCATCCGCGAAACCCATATTTTGCAGAAAATGCACCACCCCTTCGTGGCGGGCCTTGTCAACGCCCAGCAGGACGTGAGCTGCCTTTACCTGGTGATGCCCCTCGTCCCGGGAGGGGAGCTCCGCCAGCAGATGCGTTCCAGCACCCGGCCGTACCTGGAGGAGCCCAAGGCAAAGTTTTACGCGGCCTGCTTGCTCGAGGGACTTRGCTATATGCACCGTCGGAAGTACATCTACCGTGACCTCAAGGGAGAGAACGTGATGCTKGACAGAGAGGGATACTGCGTCATWATCGACTTTGGATTTGCCAAGTACGTCCCCGATAAGACCTTTACCTTTTGCGGGACGCCTATTTTCATTGTGAGTAACAACTTTCGTTTCTATTTCGTTGTGTGTGAATCGAACCGAATCGATTCAATTGAAGGGCCATTGCCTCGAATCAATTGCATTCGCCTTTATCCAGCCAAGCTCAGCACTTTCTCTCACATTTATTTTGCATTCCTGTCGTTCAAAAATTATTGCGCTTGCATTGCAGGCCCCAGAAGTTGTGCTGAACAAGGGTCACGACAAATCGGCCGACATTTGGTCTCTGGGCGTCATGATCTTCGAAATGCTGATGGGGACGAACCCCTTTTTCGATTACAACGATCCGACTATCGACCAACGGAAGCTCTTCAATCGTATCGTCAGGGGTCAGATCCAGGTTCCCCGACAGCAGGCCTCCATCGACGCCTTCGATCGATTGAGCGATGATGCCAAGGACTTGATCAAGAAACTATTGGTGGTGAACGTCCGGGACCGACTGGGATGCATGGCCAATGCCGACCTGGACATCAGAAACCACCCCTGGTTTGCCAACGAGAAAACAGGCATCGATTTTGGTAAGCTCTACCGGAAGGAAATTCCCGCTCCGTGGGTGCCGGTGCTCTCGGACCCCTTCGACAGCACCAATTTTAAGCACACGAGTGCACGAAGCAAAAAAGGGCTGAAACCACTCACCACGGAAGAGCAAAAGCTGTTCGAAGACTTTTGTTAAATCGGCCATAGCATGCTTGTRTTCCACAGGCCATAAGTACTTACYAACCCCCYATTTCCTAAGAAGAGCCGCAACCATTATTTGAAGTTTCTGGGTAGYTTCTTAGGATTTTCGTGAAATGCCTTAKACACAGGCAAATCTCCCAAGGAGATAGTAATGATTAATTTCGCTTATTTTCGTCTCCCTTTCTGTCATGCATAGCGAGATCGAGGAAGCAAAACATTAAGATGTATTGTCGGACTCGGTTTTCAAATTGCTGGAAGAATGTTAGCTTTAGTTGCTATCCAACAAAGTCAAGGCAGCCCATTGAAGCCTTGATGGGTTARGTTTGTGCAAAGCATAACATGCWCTAYTGTGTCAAAAACTTACTTTCTAGTACACTATTGGTAAGGTAGATGATCAGAAATTATAAACCATGTATTTCTGTCTATAGCTTAGAGCCCACAGGTTAACTTTTCATAACAACGACCAGCAAAATTCAGAGAAGACGTAAGACGTTATTCAAGCATTTTTGACGTTTCCTACGTAGTGATTGATTCGGCGAACARCAGGAATGCACGTAAAATGTCGGATTGGTATCATTATCTCTTTCAAGCGGCAGGATTCGAATTTSTAAAGCAAGTTGAACMMWATGAATCTGGATGATGAGACCGAAATAGAACCGTACTACTATTGACGTTGACTTGATTCACTCTCAGAGTCTTCCGGTAGTCCTTGATCATGTATTCAATCTTACAAATCARTTGCTCCTGATCGGTTAGCTGGGTCCACCAGCCGTTTTCACTCCAAACCAAAAATCGACTGGTATGCYTTATTTCTTCTGTGATTTCCGAAATTATTTTTCGTCGTTTTATCTTGACTTTCTCMTTTTGTTCTGCTAGGATTTGCTCTTTGTGCTTGCTTTGGATTAAGTTTCGAACCATAACGTTTCCRGGATGGTTGAACATGGATTTCCCTTGTCGGAACAAGACATCACTCAGGCTTGGACATTCGACGATCATAGAAACACAACCTGCTTCGTTTTTGTCGACCGGCGTTTCAAGTGCTAAACGAAGACGCATCCATTGCTTTATCCCAACGGACTTTAATGTTCCAGAAAATGACACAGGGATGTCTTGKGATGGGATGCCGTATGTCTGAAGGGAGTRACGAAGTTCTATGGAGTCGCCTATGGAATCAAAGTTATATAGAAATGGAAAATAAGAGGGAACAATGGATTRATAAATGTTGATGAGGATTTCTTTCATTCGATTTCTTAACCACCCCTGCTGKTTTAGTATTGCCTTGCAATACAAATACGCACCGAGATGAATCTTGATTCGAGAACGGTTGACCTTGTTTATCCGGAGCAACAGAAGAGCCCGGATAAASCGATGCTGGTGTGTGTCAGGGGTGCATAAATGAATGGCACACGGTCTCACTGACGAAAATTGCAAACGCCGTTCCCAAGGAACAGAATAAAACCTCTCCGTACATATTTTTGGATCAAACGTTGAGTCATACCAGACCAAATACACCAAGCCCCGCCGCTGCGTTTCGATTTCGTATCCTGCGGTCCAGGTCATGTACATGAGAACCTTGCCGGTGCAGAAAAATTCTTTTTCACTCTATATATTGCAAAACGTTTWAAAAAAAGAAACAACACCGAATCGACCGGCGAATTAGATTAATCGTGACTTGGCCGTAKTGGAACCGAAGCACGTACACGATTAGGTCTTCTACTCTGACAATTCATTGCACAATCCTACCTTTTCGCGTTTGGTTAAGTTCTCGAAATCTTTTCTTTCGATCTTTTGGTTCAGTACATGTGGATTCATGATGGCAAGAATACGTCTCCCGCTCCGATCCCGAAACGGCATGAACTGGCATGYTCCCTTTCGCATGAATTGCATCTCTTGGTTACAAAGATCAGAGAGACGGATCGGCCTTCGCAGTGCGGTTAGTCCAAAAAAAAATTCCAGCATTTCCAGAAACCTTACCATCTTGAGTGCCGCCTTGTTGATATCGAATGCATTGAACCTCAGAAAGCGCAGACGAAAACTGTCGTCATTCACGTAGGTGCTAGAGAATGTCTGACTTTTTAGATAGGATTCTTTTATGTGCTGTGGTAAGAGATCGTCGTTGTCGAGCGCGAGAGCAARATTTTCCARCGACTCTTTCAATAGTTCTGGGGTTTCTTCCGGAGCTAGACATCGGACGCCATGGATCTCCTCTTGGACACCGTTTCGTTCCTTAAGCGATAGGTGGTGCATGGTCTYCGCAAGGAGAGTGTCCGCTGTGTTTGGATCGGCTAGCATACTGTGAAGCTTCATGATGGTATGTGTTGTATTGCTTGCTGATAATAGTATATTTAGGGCAGTCTTATGTTGTGGGAAAATGAMATCAATGCGAATGGTTATCTTCGGTAAGTTCTGCAAAATTTGGTTTTCGCAACAGCTTCAAACGCTGTCAACAATAGTCAAAAGTCTTCAGATAAGATGTGTTAGGCGGGATCACATCTGCATAAATAATAATCAAAAAGTCATTTATCATCTGTCTCAAACACGTGTGACACTTTTATTTCACATCGGCGACTTTGTTTTACTCGCAATAATCTGTTCAAACAATAGAGGCAGAATTGAGAGGAAAGGAAGGCAGAAGCAGAAAAATTGAAATACCAGGCTGCATTCGGATTTTTTTTCTGAACCCTAGAAAGAAACAAAAACACAAGAGGGAACAATAAATACTAAAAACACAGTACAGAATAATGTACTATACTATTCTAGAAAAGAAAACACACTACCTAAAGAAGGGGAGTTTTGACGATTGACGATCACAATTTGAATCAATGCTCTTAAGTGTTTTTCGCTCAATTGTTTTTTGAATTTGGTGGGATCCATAAGTGTATAATTTCTGAGCAACGTTCTTACATTATTTCTAGAGTTTTTGGGACGAGGTCCCAGAATTCGGTTCAATGCACGCTTGCTTCAATTAAGTACTACCAGGTACCGTCATTATCTTGATATTTTGAACTCTGCAATACAGTACAGAAAGTTTCTTTCTTTTTCGTTCTTCGCTCGACTACCAGCTCTGCTCGTACAGAACGACTAAATAGACCCCTGAGCGGTTTCGTTCGACAAAAATTCGATTTTTTTTATTCTCCCATCTCTATTTCCCCTCTCACCCCACCATCCACACACAAAAACTAGTCCCTAAATATTTCAATTAGTGGTCCTTACTTCTGGAGAGGTGAATTCATTGGTTACTACTTGAGAATTACCATTAGGGCTTACTACTGGAAAACCTCTATTACTACTTACTACTGGGGATGTTATAGTAATGAGCACTGCCAACTGCCGTGTTAGGGGTTTTTGTTTGTGCTGCGAGGAGAAGGTATCCAATGCTTTCTCGGGGAGAGGAGCAGTTGGATGACTGAGTAATTCGTCTTTAGGTGTCGTCCATCCATGTGATCGTGCGACACGGTCGATATAATCTTCACAAGAAATTTCAATGTAGTGTTTTGTTTGTTTGATATCAACTCCATTATATGATGTGGCAAGTCCTAAATTTTTGAAAGGGATATTCTTTTCCTTTGGAAGTTGGAG